ATCTGAGAAAGATGTCTGGATAATATCTATGTGTTTGAATTTGCTCAGGCTGGACTTGTGTCCCAGCATGTTGTCTATTCTTGAAAAAGATCCATGTGGACTAGAAAAGAATGTGAAACACTTTGCTTTTGGATGGAAAGCTCTGTAAATGTCTATCAGGCCCTGTTGCCTAATTACATTGCATAGCTCTATGGCGTCTTTGCTGAGTTTCTTTCCCATTGACCTGTCCTTCTCTGATAGCGGAGTGTTAAAGTCGCCTACTATGATCGTTGAGTCCGTGATTTCTTTTTTTTTATCTTTTTAATAGTTTGTTTGACGAACTTCGCTGCTCCATTATTGGGAGCGTAGATATTCAATATGCTAATTGATTCTTGGTTTATTGAACCTTTGAGCATTATGTAGTGTCCTTCGTTGTCTCTTTTTATGGCTTGTATCTTGAAATCAATATTGTCAGAGATTAAGATAGCCACCCCTGTCTTTTTGGAGTTAGAATGTGCTTGGTAGACTTTCTGCCATCCCTTTATTCTTAGCATATTCTTGTCTGTGTGCTTAAGATGTGTCTCTTGCAGGCAACAGATTGATGGATTATGTTTTCTGAGCCAGTCCTCCAGCCTTTTTCTTTTAATGTACGAATTGAGTCCATTGGAATTCAGGTTATTATTACTATCTGTGGGTTCATAGTCGTCATACCCTGTTTTGTGTTTTGGGTCTTTACCTATCTCATCTCATTTAAATGTGCTGTGTTTGAGTGGAGATTTTCTATGCTGTCTTCTTTTTCATCTGCGATCCTCTTGTCCTGATAATTGTTGCTGGCATGTTGGCTACTAGATGGAGCTTGGCTGTTTGGTGATCTCCTGTTTGTTCTTGGTGGAGGTTGTTCCTCTGGCCATAGTGAGTCAGCCAGTATCTTCCGCAGGCTCGGGTGTTTTGCAGCATATTCTTTAAGTTTTTCCTTGTCCTGGAAGACCCTTATCTCACCATCCATCTTAATGGATAACTTGGCAGGGTACAGGATTCTGGGGGAGGCATTTTTTTCCTTCAGCTTTTGGGAGATGTTGCTCCATTCTCTCCTCCTCTTCTTGGTTTCTGCTGATAGGTCTGAGCATATTCTTACCTGTGCTCCTTTGTATGTGATTGTCTTCCTTTCTCTTGCTGCTCGTAAAATTGTTTCTTTTTCCTCAAAGTTGGATATTTTTACTATTACATGTCTTGGGGTGTTCTTCTTGGGGTCTGGCCTAGCTGGGGTCCTTTCTGCTTCCTGTATGAATACCTGATTCTCCCTTGTGAGGGTGGGAAAGTTTTCTTCCAGGAATTCCTTTGCTATCTTGATTGTTGGCTTGTATATTGTGTTTTGTTCCAGGAGACCGATAATACGAAGATTATTCCTCTTCATAGCATCTGTCATTGATCTCAAGTTCTCTTCTGTTTCTTTAATTTTCTTATCTGACTGTTCATCTCGGTTGCTTAGTTTTCTTTAAGTGTCCTCGGGGTCGCTGATATGGTTCTCTGCCTCCTCAAGCCTAATCATAAATTCTGTGACCTTGTGTGTGGCTTCTGCTGCCTCTTCTGTTAGCTCCTGCAGTTCCCTTTGGTGGGTGGACTTCATCCCCTCTATTGTGGATTTCATCCCCTCTATTGTGGACTTCATCTCCTCTATTATTTTATCCTTGTTCTGGGTTGCTTCCTTCAGCTCCTTTATTACTGCCAGTAGACTTCTGAAGATTTCCTTCTGTGGCAGATCTGTATCTGCTTTTTCTATGAGAGAAGTTAGCTCTGCTACGATGTTTTGTCTCTCTGGTTTTTTTGTTGGGAGTGATGTGGTCTGTTGATTTTTCCTCGATCCTTTCATAGGCCCCATGTTTCTGGGAGGCCAGGGGTCCCTTATCTGTGTTACTGTTAGGTATTCTCTCAGGTGGTTGCCTTTGACCTACTCTAAGGATGTGTCAGACTGCTGTGTGGGCAGAGCTCCCCGTAGGCTTGGTGACCAGCAGTGGTGGGATGTTTCAGCGACTGGAGTGGGGGATGTGGCCTCTGTGGGTGCCTCTTGGCTGCTTTGACCTGGTCTATCAGGGTACCCTTAGCACACACACACACACCCTTTTTGTTATTTAGCATCAAAAAGGAAAAAGTTAAAAATTTTTTAAATATATTTTTTTAATTTTTTTAATTAAATTAGGGGGAGGACAAAGAAAAAGAATGGAGAGGGAGAAGGAAGAAGTTATAAAAGAGGAGAGAAGAGAAGTGATAATAGTGAGAGTGAGAAAATAAAATAAAAAGAGCTAGAGGGAATACCTATAGAAGAGGGGCAGAAGAGAAGTATTAGCAATAGTGAAAAAGGAGGAAGAAAGAAGGGAGTGAAGAAAGTACAGAAAGTAGAAGAGAAAAAAGAGGAAATCAGCACGAGATAAAAGGTATATATTTACATTTATATGTATATATTTAGATCGCCCCCCCCCTTCTTTTCCCTCCAAGTTCTAGCGATGCCTAATAGACGGGGGAGGTGGGAGAGGCCTCCCTACCATGTGATGTGGTGCTGATCTGAGCTCCGGAGCAGGGCTATGTGAGGGGAGATTGCTCTTCTGATCAATAAGCTCTCCTAGGTCCCTGTAGGCCTATAGAGTGGGGTCTGCGGGTGGAGGCCACACTGAAGGAGGCTGTGGACAGCGCTAAGCCGGTGGGCGATGCCCCATGGGGCTAGCCTCCAGCACTGCCTGGGAGAGACTGGGGCCACAAGGGTGTGGGGAGGTGCAGGCCGCAATGCCTGCCTTCTATGCCGGCTGCAGATGGCTGGGGTAGGCTTGGAGCTGGCGCTGGGGATCCACGGGGTACTGGAGAGATAGGCACCGGCGGAGCACACAGACAGCTCCCTCAGGTGCCAGAGAGCTGATTCACAGGTTCCCTAGCCGGCGGGAGGGCGTTTATCGCTAGAGCCGCTGGCCCGTGAGCGGCGCAGGCTCCTCAGTGATGTTTTCCACGCCAATAGGACAGCAGCCAGACAGCAGCGGCTCTGGCAGAGAGCAGCCAGCAATGGCGACTGTGCTCCATCCTGCGGGGGCCCGCCGCATGACAGGCTCGGGGCCGCTGGGTGTGTGGAATCCCCCAGCGCCCCAGGGCAGGCAAGAACCCCGCTGGCAGTGCACTTGATGGGGAGGAGCCCCCACTGTTACATGGCAGGCGGGTTCTGCGCTCTGCCGGGCCCCTGCACAGACGCAGCGCAGCTGCAGAGAGAAGCGGGCTTGGCGCCGGTCGCGGGAAGTGCAGGGCTCCGCCTCCCAATCCAGGAATGGCGTGGGAGCTGGGACACCGGGGTGAGCGACCCGCAAATGCTGCACTGGTGGAGAGATCCCAGGCAGCAGTGAGGGTGGATTGTCTCCCGTGAGGGTCGCTCAGTTAGCACCTGGTAGATTGGAAGTCAGTTACCCGGGGCTTGGGTGAATGGAGGGAGGGACACGGGCTCAGGGCCAGATCGCTGCCATGTAGGGAGAGGGGGCCTGCGGGTAGGAGAAGCTGCTCTTCCAATGGGGTCCCACAAGTGAGCAATTGCTGTCTTCGGGGGTCACACCACTTCTGTGCATGTCTCCGCAGAGCAGGCAAGCGACTCTGGGTGCAGGTTCCCGGTCTGGGGATGGAGTGGGGCTACAGCAAGTCGAGGTCATGGTCGCGGGGGCTTAGGGACCAGCGATGTCCCACGATTCGGGGCCTGGATCCCTGAGGCCCCGGCTCAGGGCAAATGTGTGGGGTGGGGGCCGGCTGTTGGCCCCAGGGGAATGTCTCACTCACTTACCACTCAGCTACCTGGACACTGAACCCGCCTTGTTTGAGAGAACTCTCAGAGTAAGTGGGTCCCCTGGTCCGCCATCTTCCCAGAAGTCAACAGTGGTCAAAAATTGAAAATTTATGGGCAAAATCATGGTATATTGAGTTCCAATCTCTTCATAGTCCTCATGTTAACCACAATCTCTATTATATATTCTGTCTATGAAAAATAAATATCAGTGTCAGAATTTCACAATTACTTTAAAATTTATGATGGGACTTGGGCTGGCTCAACTGAAGGCCATTTTAATTTGCCTTCTTGATAAAGCAAGCATCCATGTAATCACTGTCATGCTGGAGTAGAGTAGAGTAGACAATCTGAGGGAAAATGAGCATAGAGGTGAAGCAGGGGTGTTGCTTCATTTGATCTGGATAGGCCCTTAAGCTAAATCTATTTAGAAGCTATATATATAAACACTAACTTTCATTAGCAAAAACCAAGTGTCTATTTTTCCATTCCTCTGGGAGTTATTAATAATGTAGTTTTTAAAATGTGAGAACTATAATGATAAAGTTTATTCTATTACTGACTACAGTTGAAAAAATAGCTGTGGCAATTCAGGAATGCGAACAAAAACTTGTACAGTAACATTCCCTGCAGTACTTTTGATAATATACAAGCATTCATCAGTAGAAGAGTGGATATATGTATAATAGAATATTACTCATCCTAAAGAGAACTGAAATTCTGATACTTGCTGTAACAGGAACGAACCTTGAAAACATTAAACTGAGAGAAATAAGTCAGGCAAAAAAGGGCATTGTGTGACCTCACTTTTATGAAATAAACAAATGTATAGTGACTAAAGTCGACAGGAGAATGTGAAAAGGGAAATCTTGTTCTTAGGGCTCCTTGAGTTTATGTTAATGATGGAAGAATAATATAGATATAGGTGACAATGGTTCCACAACTTGATGAATGTAATCAATGTCATTGAATTATACATGTAGAAATTGTTGAGATTGCTACTTGTTTTTTAAAATACATTTTAATCAAAATAATTTTTTAAATTCCTAAATTAGTTGTGATAGTTTCAAAGAGCCGCCGGTGATTTTTGTTGTCCTGTCATTTGCTCAGGTTCTGGAGAGTCAGTCTCTCACACACAGAGAAATGCACTGAATAGAAACTACACACTCTTTTTTCTTGTAAAGATTCTTGTATCTCTGTACTTTTTCATTTCCAGCCTGGGTGTGTAAACACTACGGAAGTGGACATTAAGAAGTCATCCAGAATGAGAAATCCACATAAAACCCGAAAGGTAATGTACTCTTCATTGTGGTAATCTTGGTAAGAATGTGATGCACTCTTTCTAAAGATCATTCTATTGGGGCTCTTACAGCTCTTATAATAAGATGCACTCTTTACAGAACATTCACCTTTAAAAAAAGTGAAAAGCATTTTCTCCTATCATAGAATACTTACACAACCAGTGGTTCCCACGCTGCCTTATTGCTCTGTGTAAAACTCTTAGAACCTCAATCCTGGGTTTGCTGTCAACTATTCTCTCCTCAGGGACATGATTCCCTTTGCCGTTAAATGGATTCTGATTCAGAGCAAACCCATGTGAATTGAGGTAGAACTATGTGCCACAGAGATTTCAAGGCTGTGATGTTTCCGAAGCAAATCACCAAGAATTTCTTCCAAGGTTGCTCTAAATTAGTGGTTCTCAACTTTCCTAATGCCATGACCCTTTAATACAGTTCCTCATGTTGTGGTGATTCCCCCAACCATAAAATTATTCTTCTTTTTTAAATCATTTTATTAGGGCTCATACAGCTCTTATCACAATCCATACATACATCAATTGTGTCCAACACATTCGTACATATATTGCCATCATCATTCTCAAAACATTTGCTCTCCATTTAAGCCCCTGGCATCAGCTCCTCATTTTTCCCCGCTCACCCTTCCCTCATGAACACTTGAAACTTTATAAATTATTATTTTGTCATATCTTGCCCTGTCCAATGTCTCCCTTCACCCACATTTCTGTTGTCGGTTCCCCCTTTCCAATCCACACCCTCTACCCTCCCAGTATCCCCACTCACACCACTGGTCCTGAAGGGATCATCCGCCCTGGATTCCCTGTGTTTCCGGTTCCTATGTGTACCAGTGTACATCCTCTGGTCTAGCCAGACTTGCAAGGTAGAATTGGGATCATGATAGAGGGGGGTGCTGGGAAGCATTTAGGAACTAGAGGAAAGTTGTATGTTTCATATTTGCCACATTACACCCTGACTGGCTCGTCTCCTCCCCAATACCCTTCTGTAAGGGGATTTCCAATGACCTACAAATGTGCCTTCGGTCTCCACTCCGCATTGCCCTGCTCATTCACTATGATAGATTTTTTTGTTCTGATGATGCCTGATACCTGAACCCTTTGACACCTCGTGATCACACAGGCTGGTGTGCTTCTTCC